GTGTGTCAGAGGCGGTGCGGTTGGCGCAGGATAGAGCAGGGTTTAGGGCTGTTGTGCATAGGGTCGCTATGAGTCGGAAACGACTCGACTGCACATAACAACAACAACAAAAATCCTTTGTCACAAGTTTAAATCTTCACAGCTTGTATAATGCAACCATTTGGGGTCCACTTTCAACTTGGACTAGTGTAACTCCTTCATGCAATAAACTGAAAAAAGCCATAAAAAAAAACAACGGTATGTTGCAGTGGGAAAATATGTTGTCAAAGTTCTCTCCAAAATTCTAAAAAACCTGGATGTTAAGACTAAGGTGAGCCTATTCCAGGCCATGGTATTTTCCACTGGTTCCCAAGGATCTGAATGGTGGACAATGAATATAGATGGCAGAGGAAGACTTGGTGCCTATGAACTGTGGTGCTGGAGAACATTGACTATCCCATGGACTGCCAAAAGAACAGACAAATCCGTGTGGGAGGGTGTACAACCAGAGTACTCCCTAGAGGCAGGGATGGTGAAACTTCATCTCACCTACTTGAGCATATTTTCATGAAGAGCCAGTTCTTGGAGGACTTTCATGCTGGGAAATGTAGAAGGTCAGCAACAGACAGGAAGACCCTCGACGAGATGAACTGACACAGTGACGAGGGTTTGAGCAGGGTAGAGAACATGAGGACGGCACAGGGTGAGGCAAGGTTCAGATCTGTTGTACCTGGGTCACTACGAGTGATGCTGAACTTGATGGTACCTAACAACAACCACTTTGTCAATACTCAAACATTTTAGAAAGTTATCAAGAACCAGTAACAATGGAAGAAGAAGTCAAAGCTTCACTGAAGGCATTGTTGTTGCTGTTGTCATGTGCCATCGAGTCACCTGCGAGTCAGTGACCCTATGTTCAACAGCCCTTAAACCCTGCTCTATTCTTTGCCAATCGCACTGCCTCCGACACACCCATCCCGATTACCCCAGTCACTGAATCAATCCACCTCAAATAGGGTCTTCCTGGCCAATAAACTGGAAGAGTGCCTATTTCAAAGGTGAACCAACAGAATGTGAAAATTCTAGAACAAAATAAGATATCACAATCAAGTAAAATCTTGATGAAAATAATATAAACACAGTTGCAGTAGT